GGGTGGGGATGTGTGGGGTGGGGATATGTGGGGTGGGATCCCCCCCGGGATATCACAGGTCCCCCTGGCCGTGCTGGGGGTTGGGGTCCCTCCACAGGAGGTGGCCGGTGGCCCATCCCCGTGGCCGAGAGCCCACCCCCGTCCCACCCCCTCACCTGTGGGGGAGGCAGTGCCGGATGCGGGCGATGAGCCCCAGGGACGGGTCCACCTGGCAGTAGCAGGAGCCGGCGGTGGCCAGGACCACCACCATCCAGCTGGAGGGGGACGCGGGGTACACGCCGGTCAGGAAGCTGTTCTGTGGGCACAGGGGGGTCAGGGGGGCCGGGGGGCAGCTAGAGGGGGTGGGGGGCACGGGGGGGCCGAGCCCACCTTGGCGCGGACCAAGCGCTTCTTCCAGGAGGAGACGACGGCGAGGTAGAGCTGCCGCACGGCCTCGCGGCTCAGGTGGAAGTCCAAGCCCTCGGGGGTGACCGTGAACTGGAAGGCCACGGCCTGGTGGGCCTCCGCCATCCTGGGGGGCTGCTGGCACCTGCGGTGGGACACGAGGGTGACGGGCACGGGGACGGCAGCCCCCGGCACACGCTGCCCGGGGGGGGACGGGAGACACCGGGATGGGTGGGGAACCCTCCCTGGCACGGTGCCACACGGGGAGGTCGGTGGGTGCCCCTCCCCCGGAGCGGGGGTCCCCGCGGCGGTGCCCGGGCTCCCGTGGGTGTCACCCGGGCGCGGTGCCGGCGGGCGGTGGCCGGCGGGAGCCCCCCAGCCCGTGGCACGGCGGCGTCATGCGGCGCTGGCCCGGTGCCCACTGAGCCAAGGGTCAGAGCCGGCACCGTCAGCGGGGACAGCGCCGAGCACACCCCCGGCTCCGCGGCAGCTGCCGGGCCCTGCCCGCCGCCAAACCCGCGCAGGACGGGGCAGCACCTGCCCCGGCACGTGGCACTTGGCACACGGTGTCCCCTGGCCTGGCACACGGCACCCTCCGTCCCCACGTCCCTGCGGGAACGCTGCCCTCTGAGCGGGAGCCGCGGGATGAGCAGAGACCCCGCTGCGGGCACAGCTGGGGGGCACTGGGGACCCTCCCTCCGAGGGTGCCGTGAAGCCCCTGTGTCACCATGGCGATGGGCAGGGATCCCACTGGTGTCGACATAGCTGGGGGTCTCTGGGGACCCCCCTCCGGAGGTGCCACCAAGTCACTGTGTCACTGTGGGGCTGGGATCTCTCTGGTGCCAGCACAGCCAGGGGGCCTTGGGGACCCTCCCTCCTAGGGGTGCCACAAAGTCACTGTGTCATCACGGGACCGGAATCCCACCGGTGTTGGCACAGCCGGGTCCTCAGGGACCCTCCCTCCGGGGGTGCCACACAGTCACTGTGTCACCGTGGCTCTCCGATCCCCCTGGTGTTGGCACAGCCGGTGCCAAGCCTGAGGGCTGCTGTGCCCGCGGGGGCTGCTGGAGCCCCCGCCTCGGGGGTTTGAGGGTGGGGGGCGACCCCTCCCAGCACGAGGGAGCTCAGGGGTCTCTTTCCCACGCGTGTCCTTGGGCTGAAGGCAACGGCTGCAGCTCAGCAGGAACCTGCTCACACTGGCACCACTGTGCCCACAGCACTCTGTGGCTGCACCCCAGTGCACCCCGTGGCACGAAATAGCACCCAATTGCACCAAACTGTACCCCAGTGCACCCCGTGGCACCAAACTGCACCCCACGGCACCAAACTGTACCCTAGTGCACCCCGTGGCACCAAACTGCACCCCACTGTGCCCCACTGCACCACACGGCCTGGCCTGGCACGGCACTGCCCAGCACACCCAGGCTCGCACATTAAGCCCCGTCCCCACGCCCTGTAGGGCACTGTGGCACTGGCACAGCCCGGCTGCACCCCCCGCCCCGTGCCCCACTCTGTGCCATCACCCCACGCTGCATGGCACAGCGCTGCCCGTGTGGCACAGCCCGGCCTGGCACTGCCCCTCCCGGCACGCGGGTCGTACCCCCCGCGGGTGGGGACGAGCCCCCCGCGGACCCTCCCACCCGGTGCCCCGCCCGCCCGCCCCACCCAAGGTCACCGGGGCGCGGGGGCCGGGACGCGCAGCCCCCGCAGCCCCACCGGGGGCGGCCCCGCCGCGCCCCCCGCCCGCCCCACGGGGCCCACGCGTGGGGCCGGGCCCTGCTCCGGAGCCGCGCTGGGGGCGGCGCGGCCGGGACCCCCCGCGTGGGATCCTGCGTGGGACCCCCGGGAGGGACCCGCAGCCACGCCGCGGGGCGGGGGGCGCGGGGGTCGCTCCCCACGGACACGGGTGGGCCCCGGCGCCGGGCACGACGCGAAGGAACGAGGATTCCCCGGGGCCGGGTGTGCCCCGCTCCCTGCACTTGTCCCGCCCCCGTGGGGGTCCCCCACGCGTGGTCCCCGTGCGTGCCCTCACCTCCGGTGCCCGGTACCTGCGTGGGCGAGGGGGCGGCGGTTCCGCGGGACGGCGGCTCCTGCGGCCCCGGGACCCGGGACCGGTAACCGGACACCGGCGGCGGGCGGGACCCGCTGCCCGGCCCCCAGTGGCAGCGGCGCCGCTCCGCCCCCGGGGGGACCGGGATCCCGGGGGGGACCCCGACAGGCCGGGATAGGGACCGGCACCCACGGGACAGGGACCCCACAGCCCCGGGACAGCGACCCACATCCCGGGCAGGGACGCCTATCCCGGGACAGGGACCGGCATCGCCGGTGGGACCCACATCCCGGGACGGGTCTGGCATTCCGGGACTGGGATCAACACCTCGGGAGCGGGACCGGCATCCCCGGGCGCACCCACGTCACGGGGGGGACACTCCTATCCCGGGACAGGGACCGGCACCGCCAGGGTGGGACCGACATCCCGGTGGAGGATCGGTATCCCGGGCTGGGGACCGACATCCCGGTGGGGGATCGGTACCCCGGGCTGGGGATGGACATCCCAGGGGGACCGGCACCGCC